CTAAACGCAAACCTTCCCTGGCTAAAACCTTGGCGCCCTGGCATTGCGCAGGCTGCGCAAGCTGTCAACGCGTACAACCAGCAGGGCGGCGGTCTTCAGGACAAGCAGATGGCACAGGCCGTCCTACTTGATGGTTTGGAAGTGCTTGCAAATCATGACCATGTCAGTGTGTGTGTATATATATATATATGCATCTGCACATATACTTGCACGAAACACATATATCTATACTCTTAAGTGCAATGTATTTGTAAGAATAGGCACGTAAATAGGCGGCTAGATCGATAGACAGATAGATACACAGATATAACAGATAGATAGGTAGATAGATGGATAGACAAACAGTATTAGTAATGGAAGGATTATAGGCTAGACTAGGAAAGAGGAGATTCGCTGAAATTATGTTTCGTTAGATTGGGTTCGACAAACAGATAAGCAGAGAGAAAAGCAGATAGACAGGTAGCTGGATAGATGCAAGGATAGGTAGATACAATGATACAGTGAACGATCGATGGATGGATAGATAGATAGAGCGAGACGAAACCGATAGACAATCAGCTAGAAAGCTAGATAGATACAAGCAGACAAACAGATGGATGGATAGATAGATCGATAGATAGTTAGGTAGATAGATAGATGCATCGATCGACAGATCGATAGATGTGCGCATTCGTTTATGCATGATTGTGAACGTATGTAAATATGTATGCAAACATGTCAGCATACATTTAAGTTTGTATGTAAGTATATATGTGTGTATGTACGTATGCATGTACGTATGCATGCATGTATGTATGCAGCATATGTATGTGTGTGTGTGTACCTTTACATCTTTTTGTACAGACGTGAACATACATTCAAGATCATGCAAGCCTACACGCCCACTTGGCCTACCCACCCTAACCTACCCGACCCAAGCGGGTCTCAAGAAATCGGCTCTGGCGCCAATACTGCTTCTCATGTGCCAACAGCAGTTTCCTTGATCATCACAACATGTGGCTACAAGGGATTGGATCCCTTAGCTCTTTGTGCTTCGCTCGGCAAGGAATGTTTCGGGACCAACCCGTAATTCTACCGCACCCAGATTGCAAGTTGCCCAAGGAAGAGGACTAGAAAGACAAGATCAAGAGCCCAATGTCTACAGCCCTTGGACAATATCATAGCCACCGCGACACCCGCCACAGGATGCTATTGTATGGATTCTCCCGGAGAGGTCCTACCGGATTCTACCGAACTCAGGAAATGCCCAAGATCCAGAGCAACGACAAGAAGCGTGCATGAATGCATGCATGCCTACGTAAAAACACACGCGCAGACACACACGCTCGCGTGCACGTGTGCGAGTGTGTATAGACATAATATGTACATGTATACATACACACACGTATATATATATATATATATATGGTACCCCCCCCTCATGTACCCACGCCTCTCCCTTCTAAATGTCAGCTTTCGGTTCTGAAAGCGGGGGTCTTTGGGATACCCTTGCCCGAATCATTTCCGAATCATTTTGGTTCGGGCTCCGGCTCGGATCCAAGATCCAAGAT